TGACCACACTGGAGGACAGGAGGGTCAGGGGAGACATGATAACGACATTAAAATACTGCGTGGAATAGACAAGGTGGACAAAGATAGTATGTTCCAGGGAGGGACACAGAAACAAGAGGCCACAATTGGAAGTTGAAGACACAAATGAGTCAGAGAGATAGTAGGAAGTATTTCTTCAGTCATAGAGTTGTAAGGCAGTGGAATAGCCTAGAAAATGACGTAGTGGAGGCAGGAACCATACACAGTTTTAAGACGAGGTTTGATAAAGCTCATGGAGCGGGGAGAGAGAGGGCCTAGTAGCAACCGGTGAAGAGGCGGGGCCAGGAGCTAGGACTCGACCCCTGCAACCACAAATAGGTGAGTACAAATAGGTGAGTACACACACACACACACACGAATATACAACAGGCCTAGTGTCTACTCGACATGTGCCTAGGACCAAATGGTAACTAACACACACACACACACATGCACACATGTGGTAATGCTTTATTTACAGCTAGCAAAGTCAGGGTATTTCTCCAGAATGGTCTGCAATATACCACTGTGGATAAAGTACTTTGCCATTTCTTGAACATTTCTGAGCGAGTTGTTTCTAAATTCATTAATTTTATCACACTCCAGTACATAATGACGCAGGGTGTGACAGTAGTCCATCTGGCAAAGTTTACATTTCGTTTGGTCTACATCTGGTGGTGGTGATTTAACCTGCCAAAGATACTTGTAACCCAGCCGGAGCCGGGCATTAGTGACATCCAAGAGTCTGCTTATTTTGTTGGATGCACCATAGACATGTGGCTCCTCCTGCATGATAGAATGATGATATATGGACTCACTGGTGTCAATCTCCCTGAGCCTTAAGTCCATAAAATTCAGTTGAAGTTCTTTTCGTATTATTGTTCTCAAACTACTACCTGACAAGCCAAGATTGTAATCTACTCCCTCTTTGAAAGCATACAGCTTAGCCAATTTATCAGTTCTATCATGCATCTGAAGACCAATGTGAGATGGAATCCACAGCATGTGCACTCTGACTCCACTGTCCACAATCCTACCATACCTGTGTCTGGCTTCTGACACAAGCATGCAACAATTTATGCTTAATGAGTTGAGAGCATTTATGGATGACAGAGAATCAGTTACAATTAAACTGTCAATCTTTGATACATAGATGCATTTCAGTGCAAGGAGTATGGCAAACAGTTCTGTCTGAAGGGTAGAGGCCCAATTATTGATGCGTGCTCCAATTTCTTTAAGAGAGCCATCACTCTGTACGACAACAGCAGCACTACCAGCTGCACCAGTGGATTGGTGAACAGAACCATCAGCGTAAATAATTTGCGAGAGTGTGTGCTGTGTGACTAAATTATCAATACAGCTTAAGGCCTCATGTTTGGCTTCAAGGCGAAGTTTTGGTTGTGATTTAAGAAGTAGTTTGGGGGGAAATGGAGGAATGGTAATTTGGAATGGGGTAATATTCCATGGAGCGGAGAAGTGCCGCTGTTGCCTTACTTGACATAGATCATGTATCTGATTCATGCGGAGGTCGGTTCCAGTTTTTTCGATCCATCTGGAGGAGTGTTCACCAGTGCTGAGGAAAGTTTGGAGGGCTTCTGTGCAGGGGTTTGAATGAGCTTGCCTGAGCATATTAACCCCAGTTAGGATATTTCTTTCGCAACCTGAATTTCAGCACCCATATCCAACATATAACAAAAAAGTATCCAAAACGGTTGGGGTCCTCTCCAAGATACTTTACTATGTGCCACACAATCTGCCCTTCTCACACTATACCATTCATTCATTTATCCCTACTTCACCTGTGCTATTTGTGCTTGGGGATCAACTGCAGCAGCACACCTAAAGCCAATAATAACCCAACCCAACAAAAAGCCACAGTAAGAATAATCACGCAATCCAATCCTAAGCAACACCCCCCTCCCACTCTTCATAGATCTAAACTTACTCACTGTTCAGAACATCCACACTTACTACTGTGCAACCTACATTTACAGAACCTTAAATTCCAATATTAACCCTGACCTAAAACACTTTCTTGATAGTTGTGACAGGATCCACAGGCATAACACCAGACACAAACATCTCTATGACATTCCCCGTGTCCGGTTAAACTTATACAAAAATTCAATGTACATAAAAGGGCCTAAAATCTGGAACACCCTACCTGAAAACTCTAGAACTGCAGACACATTCATCACTTTCAAAACTACCGTTAGAAAACATCTTATCTCCCTGACACACCACACTGTCAGCTAACTACATGAAAACCACCTATTCTCTTGTATCATACACATAAAAAACAACCTAGACCTCCCCTCGATATCTGTGATTCCCAGCAATTCGCACCTACTCTCACCCAATTGACTATAAACATAGAAATACGTAATACAACTATTACCTAATGAATCTTAACTAGTCATAAGTTTGCCTGTAATACTCCAATATAGTAGCTTCAATAAAAACTATATATTGTACCAAAACAAAACCATTCACATTGCTAAATTTACAAACTGTAATGCAGTTACTTCCTTAATCTGTACAAATATAGAGTTTTGAATTAATCTTAATCTGCCCGAAATGCCTAGTCATGCTAGGTGTGATAGTGGCCCTCTCTAATTAGTTTTATATAATATGTAAACCACACAATATTGTATAATATGTAAACCCCACATTGTAATCTTTATAGAGAATAAACTTGATTTGATTTGAAAGAAGAAAACATACTCTTAACTGATTCCCAGCATTTTCAGGCAAGATCCTACACTTCAGAATTGCATGTACAGTGGTCCCTCGGTAATCGTCTGGCTTGATAGTTGTCCTTTTCGGAAGTTATCGCGTTATTTCATCCAAACACTGGCTCGCAAATGGTCCATTGATTCGCTAATCGCCGTTCGTCTGGGACGTGTACACACAGCCCTGAGCCGCCTCACACTCCATTCCCAGCCAGTGTGCCAATGTTTATCAGTGAGTGAGGATGATCCCACGAGTTCATATGATACATTTCATAATATTCCATTTGTTTTAGTGCTTGCAACTGATAAATAAGTCACCATGGCTCCAAAGAAACCTTCTAGTGCCAGCCCTTTGGTCAAGAATGTGAGAAACACATATAATTAAGAAAAAGTTTGTAGAAAAATAGGAAGGTGGTGGTGGTAGAGTGGAAGCAGTTGTGATAGTGGTTGATGGTAGTATAAGGTAGTAGTGATGATGGTAGCAGTTGTAATGGTGGTAGAAGGTGGTAGCGATGGTGGTAGCAGTTGTAATAGTGGTAGAAGGTGGTAGTGATGGTGGTAGCAGTTGTAATAGTGGTAGAGATGGTGGTAGACAGTGGTAGTGGTGGAGGGTGCCTTCTTCAGTGATTCAGCGATTTACTAACTCCTCCAGTGTTGTTGGAGTTATATAGGGCTACACAAAACACCGCCACCTCAGCTGCTGCTTCACCACCATCATGGATGGCTTATTCTCAGTGGCCCTTATACAACCAACAACAACACAACACCTCGTGACATACATAATGACTTATTTTATTCATTCTAGAGTATATTCCATGTTTCTGTTATTAGTATGTGACCTCAGACACTCACTTGACCCTAAGAGATTTTTGGAAAGAACACTTCAGTATCCTCCATTGCATAAACCTTATAGGTAAGGCTTGGGAGGGAGTGACTACCAGGACTTTGAACTATGCTTGGAGAAAATTGTGGCCAGATTGTGTCCACAAGAGGGATTTTGAAGGGTTTTTGGCTGCCCCTGATGAGCCTATGTCAGTTGTGAACTCTATTGTGGCATTGGGAAGTTCCATGAGGTTGGATGTAAGTTTGGAGGATGTGGAAGAGTTGGTGGAGGACCACAACGAAGAACTAACCACTGAGGAGCTGCAAGAGCTTCAGCAGGAACAGCAACAGATCACAGCTCAGAATCTTGCTGCAGAGGAGAAGGAAGAGAGATGGAAGAAGGTGCCTTCTTCAGAAATTAAGGAGATTTTTAAAATGTGGGGTAGGATGGAAAGATTTATGAAGAAACATCACCCTGAGAAGGATGTTGCAAGCCATATCGGCAACTTGTACAGTGACAGAATCTTGGCCCATTTTAGGGAAGTTTTAAAGACTCCCCAGAAACAGAGCTCTCTGGACACTTTTTTTGCGAGACAGGAGTCCAGTAGCTCTCAAGCTGGTCCTAGTGGCATTAAGAAACAGAGTAGAGAAGTAACCCCAGAAAAGGACTTGGTAGTACCTGAGGTGTTGATGGAAGGGTATTCCCCTTCCAAACAGTAACTAATCCAATCTCTCTCCTCCTCCTCCAGTCTTCCATACACTAAGAAGAATCGCCAGTGAAGGTAAGTGTTATGCTGTTAATGTTTCATCATGTCCCATTGAATTGTTTATGTACTACATCTATATTTCATGTAAAAGAAACATTTTTAATACTTCTGGGTGTCAGGAACGGATTAATTGTATTTACATTATTTCTTATGGGGAAAATTGATTCGAAAATCGTCTATTTCAATAATCGTCGCACTTCCAGGAACGGATTAAGGAGAGTAAACAAGGGACTACTGTATATTTTTTGTTAGAATTCAGTATCTCAAACTAGTTGAAATATACCATATTCTCAAAAATAGAATGCTGAATTACAGTGTATTGTACACACAATATATGATGTTAGAATACTGCAGGAAAGTAAGTAATTTCAATGGGTAAACTAGTTTCTTAGGTTTATAACCTATGAACTACATGTGGGTCATTAAGGCTGCAATTCACCGGGACAGTTACGTCAGGAATAGAGTACTTTATTCCCTTGAAATACACACTCTCGGTGTATTTACACAGTATACTGTCTGATATTACAAGTCATAAGAGAATTTACCTCTGTCAGTACTTAAAGGTTACAGTACAGATATCAGCACTTGCTTATCAGTGAACAATTTTTGTTTTCTTATGAGGACTGATGAAGTTGTGGTTATATAATTAAAAATCATCAAATACATAATTTCTCTTTATTTACACAACTTTTTCAACATTGTCTTCAGGGCTAAGAAACAAACCATTTTTGGTGTGATGACACAATTAGCTCCCCCTCAAAAATATTTATTCTGGAAAGTGAATTATGAAAGACTTTTTCAGGATAACATTAGGATTAGGTCATGTTCTAGAGAGACTGCCTGTAAAAGCCATATGAAATATTCACATTTCCCAAGATATGTACTGGTGTCAGTGTAATACATGATACTGTATATCACTACTATTACATTGAACAAATTCATGCAAAGTACAGTACAAGAGGAACACTTTTTTTGTCTATGAAATAAATATTTATCTTGCTGACTTGCAAGTATTTCACGTGGCATTACTTTCTCATGAACACAGCCCATGAACCATTTAGACAATGGCACAATACAGTGACCAGAACAATACACAAATAACCTGCACATAATTAGTGATCCAAGTTGGACCGAAACATCACCATAAGTTTCTTTCTCCTATGTGTAGGTTATTTGTGTATCATTCAGACAACTCCAGTTATGTCACCACTGACTGCTTTACAACTGTTTGTGTAGATATAAGTTTAAACAAAATGCTTTACAAATCGTAGCAACTAATTTCCTCATTTATTAAAGAAGACAGTAATAACATTAACTGGAAGGAACTGCACTGAACTAATTGGAACAAAACATTTATTTCTAGACTCCAATAAAGACGAGTATTTGGGAAGTTTACTTTGCTAATTTCCTGACTTATGAATACGTCATATAAATGAACAACCTTTTGTAATAAAATGAATGCAATGCATTGAAAATCACTTATATGTCTTTTGTACAAAGTGAATTAAAAATAACACTAAACTGAGACCCTTGGAACACAGAGCATTAAAAAGAAGACATTCAGTGGCCCAGCATCTTTGTCGCTTCATTTACACTGGACCACATTTTCGTTCACTAACATACATATTATGAAAGAATGATGCTTCCATTATTTTAATTTTTCTCAGTTACATCTTACCAGTCACATAGTATAAATATGAACTAGTGCAAAAGACTCGACTATGCTGATAAATATATTTTAAGTACTGTACGGAAAATAATTATACTCTTAATCTTGATAGGGTATACAGAAGATCACATATAGTAGTTTAAGCCTGGATACCTCATTCTGAAGGTGCTAGATGGAGGACAAGTGGAAACATTTACAGTACTGTATATACCTAATATATGGCTGCCTTTACACACACTGAAATGAATGAATATCTTTGCTACAAGTAATTTTAATAAGAAATTCAATTTTTGGCAGATATTTTCTGGGATGACCTTGAATCACTGCACCAGATACATTCAAAGAATCTATCGTGAGAGTAACTATTGGTCTAAGCCCACTACTTTTGAACTTTTTGAGCAGCAGACAAAACTTCTTAATACAAGTGAGGATAATATTAACCAGTTGGCCAATGGCCATGTAAACTTTTTCCTTACTTAATCATATGGCACTACAGTTGAGGTCGTATCATTAAACATTGCGCTGGCTTCACGCCCATAAACTCCGCAAAAGAAAGGCAAAACATTTCCCTTCAGTTTTAACAGTGGATTGAAGATTAAGGAATATTTGAAATGTCATGCGACTAAGTACATGCATTACATAGTCATTTGCTTTCTGTATTACTTTGTTTATGGTAAGTCCTGTAGTGACTAGACACACACTGTCTTCAAGTTTGAGATAGGATACTGCAAATGATCAGCAACAATGTGTAGACATTTAAATGACAGCTTTTTGATAAACAAAAATATTTTTTATGGTAAACTATTTAAAGATTTACTGAGGTACATTAACACAATCAAACCTCATTATCATCATAAAACATATAAATACTGTTTGAACATTCACCTATGGTAACACTACTATAGTGAGTAACAAGTTTTAATACAAAATATACAATTTCTATTAAAAAAGCTGCCAACATTTTATCCTCAATAGTCATGAAAGTTCATCTTAATACAGTACTGGGCTTTTTTTTAGTTACCTCTCAAGGCCTCAAATATAAGGTGATAGCAGAGCTGACACTTGTGCTGTATTGGCAAGTAACTAATGCCAAGAGTTACTAAGAAAACAGGCCACTTTAATGCTGCCCATGAAATTGATTTGCATTCCAGTCTGACATTTCAAAAGTGGCACGCCATCACAGGAACACAGTGAGAGGTATTTAAATAATAATAATATGGCAATACAACATGAATACATGAAGTACAGTATATATGGATAAATAATGCCTAACATTAAACATATGAATTTTTGGGTAGTATGCACATATTGAGGTCATACTACATTAACTAACACAAGGAAAGGGAATGAAAAGGATGAAAGTGGGTTGGATGTAGAGGATACTGACTGGACATCTTACACACACAGGGATGATGCTGAGTCTGGGAACATTGGTGCCCCAACCATCTAAGGCACTTTATAGCACCAGGTAAAGTACTACAACCTGTCATATCAGCATATCAAAATTAACTGCCAAAAAAATTTATGTAGCTTTTAGTAAAGGAAAAGGCTTGACTGAATTGTTTTGTTCATTAAACCACAGTGAAGAACATACTACTGACTGAATGTTAATCTTATACAAGATTTTAAACACTCATTTCTCTTTGTTCTGCTAGTCATAAAAAATTATCACAATCAATTAACATTAATTTTTATATACTGATATGACCTGGAAAATGAAACATGTGAGAAAGCCAGCATACCCATACCTTGAACACATCCAGCATGTTCATCTGTGTCATACAGCTTACTGGAATCAACTCAGAGGGTGGTCTTGGTGGCTGAATCACACAGACATCTTGTACATGGTAGGGTAAAACATCCTCTGATTATCTAATAACCCTGTATTCTATGGAGACCAAATGAGTGATTTCAGACCGAGTTCACCTTCTTCAAAGTGACTCAGATTTATCCCCAAAATGGTCATCCATGGTGCTTCAAATGGATATAGAGGATCACACACTCATACATGAGGAATACATAGGTATCATAGGTATACATATACATGTGCATATGATTACAATTTGAACCTATTTTTAAGATATGTATATGAATCTGAGTTACAAGACACAGCTGTGATACACTCCCATAAGTCATGGAACACAATTAAAAATACATTTGATATAAAAAGAGCATCATTAACTGTTTCATGTAAAATATATATACATCACATCTGTTTTGAGCCGATGAAAGCATGTGCACAGATGATACATGACACTCATCACCATTACATTATGTTGCACTTCAATACGTAATGCTGAGCAATTGTAGGTTTTGTGTGGTATGCCTCACAGACCTGAGTGGGTAGAGCCTATTAACCTTTGAAGAAAAAACAATATTTACAAATACAGTAAGTGGGTGGATCGAACTCTTGTGGTGGATTCAACAAACATCGCACCACAAAATCACTTAAAACAATCCCATATTGGTCCTCTCTTGCACCACTATGACGCCTCAACACCCCTCATAAGGTTGCAGCGCTGGAAAAATAACGCCACTTTGTACTGTGCGGCAAAAGGTCCGCTTCTGGCACAGAGACGGCAGCAGCTTGGATACACATCCTATGAGTGACAGATCTCAAGGTGAACTTGGTTCTTCACTGTCTGATGTAACCAGAAGAAGAGGTGGTAATCAGTGTTGGAAGAGCATGGCGCCGCTGCCGAAGAAGTGCAGGATCAAAATCAGGGTGCCGTCGTGCATGTTTGCTGTAAAGAAAAAACAACTGTTGTACAAGGGATACACAACTGATGCACAAACAAATGTCTTTGGTAACAAAATTTTAGTACTGTACATGGTGATTCTGCATTTATAGCTGCAAAGGTAGAGCTATATTTGTAGTGTCCCTTCAACATTGTTTCATCTCTCAAATATTTTTTCAAACTTCCAGTGGGTGTAGCACACCTGTAATACTTGATATGGTATTTACTAGCACTAATGAAGAAATTTCCAACAAACTATCTAAACTAACTTAGAAAGAGTGGTCATGTACTACTGGAAATAATAGAAGCTTAGCTTATATGAAAGGAAAAAATGGTGCTTTAAGGCAGCATTTTAGAGAAGCTACAGTAAATAAATGATATACGTATAATTATTACATTCATGGAGAGTGCTAAACCCCATTGGTTCTTCCATTGTATGTTAGGCAAAAATTGCAATATGCAGTGGTTGTGGTTTGGTGTCTAAAACTAATAAAAATATGCGAACAAGTTAGAAAAAAGCTATGAAGATGAGGTGCAAAATAACTCTAAGATCTTTAAAAAATGTAAGATACATACCAATATTGAAAAAGCCAAAAAATATCCTTTGGTTGATAGGAGGAGGAAGAGAGATGATAACCACATAGTGTACAATGTCATAAAAGGCTTCAAAATAATAGCAAAAGCAAGAGGCCATAGTGGTAAGTTAAGAAAAGTGATGATGAAATGCTTTCAGAAAGCTTTTTTTCCCAGAGATAATACTGGAATGTGATAAAAGTGAATACAGTGGTACCTCGAATTTCAAACCGCTCCCAACTCGAACAATTATGTAAGTGTATTTTTGTAAGTGCTTTTGTAAGTGTATTTTTGGGGTCTGAAACAGATTAATCTAATTTACATTATTCCTTATGGGAACAAATTCGTTCGGTAAAGGCACTCGAACAGCCTTTTGGAACAAATTATGGCCGAAATTCAAGGTACGTACCACTGTATTTGTTTGTGTCTTCAAGAGCAGACTTATTATTACATTCATGGAGTAGCTAAACCCCTATTGGTTTAGCTTTTTCAATACTGGTATCTCACATTTTTTAAAGATCTTAGAGTTACATTGCACCTCATCTTCATAGCTTTTTTCAATTGGAGTTAATGTTACAGTATGTCAGTGGCATGGAGATGAGTTTTAATTTTCATCGATGAAAATCACATTTGAATTGTCAGTCTTCAGACTGATTAATGGCTTACTGAGCACACAGTCATAGTATAATTTCAATACTTCACCCATTTCTTTGTTGTCATCAAGTAGGAGCCTTGATAATAAATGTGAGTTTCTACCATGGATTTTCCATACAAGAATAAGTATTTTGGATTTCTTCCAGTTTCAATTATGGTTATTTGTTCCCTGTGTCTCTCCTGGCTTCTGCACAATTCATACAGTTTGAACTTGATGTTTTCCATTTCTTTAACCACTTCATTCTGTGATTCTACATCCTCACCTGTAGAGGGAGTACCTCCGTCCCTCCCTCATACTCTCATTATCACAAATATATCTCAATATAAATAATAGCCATAAATATTTTCTGATTCAGAATTTACCACTATAAATATTCTAACAATTTTTTTATTTATTTATTTATTAACACATCGGCTGTTTCCCACCAAGGCAGGGTGGCCTGAAAAAGAAAAACTTTCATCATCATTCACTCCATCACTGTCTTGCCAGAGGCATGCTTACACTACAGTTACAACAATGCAACATTAGCACCCCTTCTTCAGAGTGCAGGCACTGTACCTCCCATCTCGAGGACTCAAGTCTGGCATGCCAGTTTCCCTGAATCCCTTCATAAGCCACATTTTTATATAAAATATTAAAGCTTACAAACCATATCATTCAAATAAACTAACCTAATTATACAATATTCAGTAGTTATAAGTTAATTTTAAGGCTGCCCAAAATACTCTACATAACAAGGGGCTTTCTATAAATTAGTTAGAACATATCAATTCATCTCCATGGGGAAGTGGAGAAGAATCCTTCATAATAAGCCATGTGTGTCGTAAGAGGTAACTAAAAAGCTGGGGCAAGGAGCTAGTAACCTTCCTCTGTATACATGTATATACAGTAGAATCTCTACTTGCGAGCGTGTCCACGTGCGAGTTTTTCCAAATACGAGCAGTCGATGCGTCAATTTTTTTCTTCCATACGCGAGCAAAATTTCCACAAGCGAGCAGACCTCAAGGCAGGTTCCTTGACACTGGTGAGGGGCTCTTGCTCTTGATCTCGGGAATTGTATCTCATTTGTTTGTTGGACTATCTTATTGAAACTTGGGCAATGTATGATGGAAAGATGCTTCTTAATGTACACCAAAAATGAAAGAAATCTAAGCATAGATAATGGAGTTCACTTTTCAGCAATTAGCCACCCCTTAGCGGTAATTTCGAATGGTTTTTATGGTAGTATTCTCGTTTGTTTGGTCTCGTTTACACCACAGTTTCCAAACTGCAACATCAACACCCCTCCCTCAGAGTGCAGGCACTGTACTTCCCATCTCCAGGACTCAAGTCCGGCCTGCCGGTTTCCCTGAACCCCTTCATAAATGTTACTTTGCTCACACTCCAACAGCACATCAAGTATGAATGGAGACAAATGGTTTTTAATACTTGACGTGCTGTTGGAGTGTGAGCAAAGTAACCTTTATGAAGGGGTTCAGGGAAACCGGCAGGCCGGGCTTGAGTCCTGGAGATGGGAAGTACAGTGCCTGCACTCTGAGGGAGGGGTGTTGATGTTGCAGTTTGGAAACTGTGGTGTGGAGCACCCTTCTGGCAAGACAGTGATGGAGTGAATGATGGTGAAAGTTTTTCTTTTTCGGGCCACCCTGCCTTGGTGGGAATCGGCCAGTGTGATAATAAAATAAATAAAATAATTACTATGGAGATGAAGAAAGAGATCATTGCTAAGTATGAAAGTGGAGTGTGTGTCTCCGAGCTGGCCAGGTTGTATAGTAAACCCCAATCAACCATCGCTTCTATTGTGTCCAAGAGAATGGCAATCAAGGAAGCTGTTCTTGCCAAAGGTTTAACTGTGCTTTCGAAACAGAGATCGCAAGTGATAGAAGATGTTGAGAGACTGTTATTGGTGTGGATAAACGAAAGACAGATAGCAGGCAATAGCATCTCTCAAGCAATCATAAGTGAAAAGGCTAGGAAGTTGCACGAGGATTTAATTAGAAAAATGCCTGCAACTAGTGGTGATGAGAGTGTATTTAAGGCCAGCAAAGGTTGGTTTGAGAGATTTAAGAGGCGTAGTGGCATACATAGTGTGATAAGGCATGGTGAGGCTGCCAGTTCGGACCAAAAAGCAGCTGAAAAATATGTGCATGAATTGAAGGAGTACATAGACAGTGAAGGACTGAAACCTGAACAAGTGTTTAATTGTGATGAAACAGGCCTGTTTTGGAAGAAAATGCCAAGCAGGACCTACATTACTCAGGAGAAAAAGGCACTCCCAGGACATAAGCCTATGAAAGACAGGCTTACTCTTATCATGTGTGCCAATGCTAGTGATGATTGCAAAGTGAAGCCTTTATTAGTGTATCACTCTGAAACTTCCAGAGCGTTCAGGCAAAAGAATATCCTCGAGGCTAATTTGTGTGTGCTGTGGAGGGCAAACAATAAGGCATGGGTCACTAGGGACTTTTTCTATGACTGGTTACACCAAGCATTTGCCCCCACTGTGAAAAATTACCTAACTGAAAAGAAATTAGACCTTAAGTGCCTCCTGGTGTTAGACAATGCCCCTGGTCATCCTACAGACTTGGCAGAGCGACTTTGTGGGGACATGAGCTTCATTAAGGTGAAGTTTTTGCCTCCTAATACCACTCCTCTCCTGCAGCCCATGGACCAGCAGGTTATTGCAAACTTCAAAAAACTGTACACAAAAGCTCTGTGTGAAAGGTGCTTTGTAGTGACCTCAGAAACTCAATTGACTCTAAGAGAGTTTTGGAGAGAGCACTTCAATATCCTCAATTGTGTAAACCTTATAGGTAAGGCTTGGGAGGGAGTGACTAAGAGGACCTTGAACTCTGCTTGGAAGAAACTGGCCAGAATGTGTAGACCAAAGGGATTCTGAAGGATTTGAGGCTAACCCTGAGAATCCTATGCCAGTTGAGGAATCAATTGTGGCATTGGGGAAGTCCTTGGGGTTGGAGGTTAGTGGGGTGGAATGTGGAAGAGTTGGGAGGAGGACAATGAAGAACTAACCACTGATGAGCTGCTAGATCAACTTCAACAACAAGAGGCCACACCTGAGGAAATTGCTTCGGAGGAGGGGAGAGAGAAATTGAAGAAGTCGCCTACTTCAAAGATTAAGGAAATCTGTGCAAAGTGGCTTGAAGTGCAAACCTTCATGGATGAAAATCACCCTCAGACAGCTATTGCAAGCCGTGCTGGTGACTATTACACTGACACTGTTGTGAAACACTTTAGGAAAGTCATAAAGGACCGAGAGGTACAGGCCACTATGGACAGATATGTTGTGCGACAGAAGTCCAGTGACTCTGAAGCTGGTCCTAGTGGCATTAAAAGAAGAAGGGAAGCAACCCTGGAAAAGGACTTGACACCTCAAGTCCTAATGGAAGGGGATTCCCCTTCTAAACACTAAAACCATCCAGTCTCCCCTCCTCCCAACCCATCAATCATCACCAGATCTTCAATAAAGGTAAGTGTCATGTAACTGTGCATGTTTTCTTAAGTTTGTGTGTATTAAAATTAATATTTCATGTGGTAAAAAAGTTTTTTTTCATACTTTTGGGTGTCTTGCACGGATTAATTTGATTTCCATTATTTCTTATGGGGAAAATTAATTCGCACAACGATAATTTCGCATAACATTGAGCTCTCAGGAACGGATTAATAGCGTTATGTGGGGGTCCACTGTATAATATGTATAATAATAATACATATACAGTGGAACCTCAAAAATCGAACTGCTCCCAACACGACCAATTATGTAAGTGTATTTTTGTAAGTGCTTTTATAAGTGTATTTTTGAGGGTCTGAAATGGACTAATCTAATTTACATTATTCCTGATGGGAATAAATTCATTCGGTAAAGGCACTCGAACAGCCTTCTGGACCGAAGAAAGTTCGATATTTGAGGTTCCACTGTATAATAATAATGTACTATATATAACAATTATAATAGACGGCTTCAAAAGGCCGTCACTAGATGGCGGTGTTTACCAAAACAAAGAGGGAGCGGCTGTGGCCGCCTCCACCTGTTACATAGTGACATATTTTATTCATTCTAGAGTATATATCATGTTTCTATGTCATTTTTATTGTTTGTTGTGTCATATTAGATGAACTGTGATATATAAATAAGCCATATAGATGATATTAGCTAAATTATTCATGAAGTATTTTGCCCGGTCTCCAGACAAATTCATCAACCGCCAACACCGCCCATACCACCACATGAATGATATATTTTATTCATTTTAGAGTATATATCAGGTTTGTATGTTATTTATATTGTTTATTATGTCATATTAGATGAAGTGAGATAGATAAATAAGCCGTACAGTTGATATTAGCGAAATTATTGAAGTATAGAATTCCACTGGAACGGATTAATTGCATTTCAGTTAATTTAAATGAGGAAAATTGACTCTGCAAACGAGCAAATCTAGTTGCGAGCAAGGTCATGGAATGGATTAAACTCGCAAGTAGAGGTTCCACTGTATATATTACTAAATGTAAAAAGGAGTTCCTCATTTTTTGGGTCACCCTGCCTTGGTGGGAGATGGCAGTTATGCTAAAAAAATTATATCAGTTCATCCTATCTCAGTTATATGATGTACTTTACAGAAATAAAGTTACTCATATTATTAAGTAGAACCTATTAATTTTATTAAAACAAAAGTACCTGAGGTGATCCGATCGCATAAATCGTTTTTGGCACACTGGACAAACAAAGTTCTTCTCCCCTGTGTGAGTCCTGGTGTGTCGTGCCAGCTCATCACTGCGGGCAAATCTTTTACAGCAAGTTGTCCATGTGCACTCAAATGGTCGCTCTCCTGAAATAAGAGGTCTTAATTAGTTTTTAGTGCAACATGCTTTTACAAAACAAAACATGTTAGCTGTGACTGATCATCTTAAAAGAAATGCCATAAGAATATAAGGCTAAAGAACTTCAGTAAGCCTAATGGCCTATGCTAGGCAAGTCTTACTTACATCCAACCATTCTCAATTATATTTTTCTAGAATATAGTGTTATACAGGAGGGCCCCACTTTACAGTGCTTCACTTTACGGCATTTTGCTAATGCAGCAGTTTTCAACTATACCCATAAGCTAAGTACAAAAATATTTTAACTAATGTGTGTGCTGTATATGCATTTTTTATTGCTCACTTGATATGATATACAGTGTAACCTTGGTACTTGAACAGCTCCCTACACAAACAATTCGGTATTCGAATGCTTTGTTCGGTAAAAAAAATCGCTCGGTAGTTGACCGTTTGCTCGGCACTCAACCAAACAAACACGACCTGCCAGAAGTTTGCTTCTTCTTCTTTGTTGGGTTTATCATGGCCACTGACAGCATACGCAGTATCAGAAGATTGCTGTAAACTATTTCGTGTTTCTTTGCATTTTTTGGTGTTTTTCATATTATATTATTTTTTTTATTATCACACTGGCCGATTCCCACCAAGGCAGGGTGGCCCGAAAAAGAAAAGCTTTCACCATCATTCACTCCATCACTGTCTTGCCAGAAGGGTGCTTTACACTACAGTTTTTAAACTGCAACATTAACACCCCTCCTTCAGAGTGCAGGCACTGTACTTCCCATCTCGAGGACTCAAGTCCGGCCTGCCGGTTTCCCTGAACCCCTTCATAAATGTTACTTTGCTCACACTCCAACAGCACGTCAAGTATTAAAAACCATTTGTCTCCATTCACTCCTACCAAACACGCTCATGCATGCCTGCTGGACGTCCAAGCCCCTCGCACACAAAACCTCCTTTACCCCCTCCCTCCAACCTTTCCTAGGCCGACCCCTACCCCGCCTTCCTTCCACTACAGACTGATACACTCTTGAAGTTATTCTGTTTTGCTCCATTCTCTCCACATGTCCGAACCACCTCAACAACCCTTCCTCAGCCCTCTGGACAACAGTTTTGGTAATCCTGCACCTCCTCCTAACTTCCAAACTACGAATTCTCTGCATTATATTCACACCACACATTGCTCTCAGACATGACATCTCCACTGCCTCCAGCCTTCTCCTCGCTGCAACATTCATCACCCATGCTTCACACCCATATAAGAGTGTTGGTAAAACTATACTCTCATACATTCCCCTCTTTGCCTCCAAGGACAAAGTTCTTTGTCTCCACAGACTCCTAAGTGCACCACTCACCCTTTTCCCCTCATCAATTCTATGATTCACCTCATCTTTCATAGACCCATCCGCTGACACGTCCCTCCCAAATATCTGAATACATTCACCTCCTCCATACTCTCTCCCTCCAATCTGATATCCAATCTTTCATCACCTAATCTTTTTGTTATCCTCATAACCTTACTCTTTCCTGTATTCACTTTCAATTTTCTTCTTTTGTACACCCTACCAAATTCATCCACCAATCTCTGCAACTTCTCTTCAGAATCTCCCAAGAGCACAGTGTCATCAGCAAAGAGCAACTGTGACAACTCCCACTTTATGTGTGATTCTTTATCTTTTAACTCCACGCCTCTTGCCAAGACCCTCGCATTTACTTCTCTTACAACCCCATCCATAAATATATTAAACAACCACGGTGACATCACACATACTTGTCTAAGGCCTACTTTTACTGGGAAATAATTTCCCTCTTTCCTACATACTCTAACTTGAGCCTCACTATCCTCGTAAAAACTCTTCACTGCTTTCAGTAACCTACCTCCTACACCATACACCTGCAACATCTGCCACATTGCCCCCCTATCCACCCTGTCATATGCCTTTTCCAAATCCATAAATGCCACAAAGACCTCTTTAGCCTTATCTAAATACTGTTCACTTATATGTTTCACTGTAAACACCTGGTCCACACACCCCCTACCTTTCCTAAAGCCTCCTTGTTCATCTGCTATCCTATTCTCCGTCTTACTCTTAATTCTTTCAATAATAACTCTACCATACACTTTGCCAGGTATACTCAACAGACTTATCCCCCTATAATTTTTGCACTCTCTTTTATCCCCTTTGCCTTTATACAAAGGAACTATGCATGCTCTCTGCCAATCCCTAGGTACCTTACCCTCTTCCATACATTTATTAAATAATTGCACCAACCACTCCAAAACTATATCCCCACCTGCTTTTAACATTTCTATATTTATCCCATCAATCCCGGCTGCCTTACCCACTTTCATTTTACCTACTGCCTCACGAACTTCCCCCACACTCACAACTGGCTCTTCCTCATTCCTACAAGATGTTGTTCCTCCTTGCACTATACACGAAATCACAGCTTCCCTATCTTCATCAACATTTAACAATTCCTCAAAATATTCCCTCCATCTTCCCAATACCTCTAACTCTCCATTTAATAACTCTCCTCTCCTATTTTTAACTGACAAATCCATTTGTTCTCTAGGCTTTCTTAACTTGTTAATCTCACTCCAAAACTTTTTCTTATTTTCAACAAAATTTGTTGATAACATCTCACCCACTCTCTCATTTGCTTTCTTTTTACATTGCTTCACCACTCTCTTAACCTCTCTCTTTTTCTCCATATACTCTTCCCTCCTTGCATCACTTCTACTTTGTAAAAACTTCTCATATGCTAACTTTTTCTCCCTTACTACTCTCTTCACATCATCATTCCACCAATCGCTCCTCTTCCCTCCCGCACCCACTTTCCTGTAACCACAAACTTCTGCTGAACACTCTAACACTACATTTTTAAACCTACCCCATACCTCTTCGACCCCATTGCCTATGCTCTCATTAGCCCATCTATCCTCCAATAGCTGTTTATATCTTACCCTAACTGCCTCCTCTTTTAGTTTATAAACCTTCACCTCTCTCTTCCCTGATGCTTCTATTCTCCTTGTATCCCATCTACCTTTTACTCTCAGTGTAGCTACAACTAGAAAGTGATCTGATATATCTGTGGCCCCTCTATAAACATGTACATCCTGAAGTCTACTTAACAGTCTTTTATCTACCAATACATAATCCAACAAACTACTGTCATTTCGCCCTACATCATATCTTGTATACTTATTTATCCTCTTTTTTAAAATATGTATTACCTATAACTAAACCCCTTTCTATACAAAGTTCAATCAAAGGGCTCCCATTATCATTTACACCTGGCACCCCAAACTTACCTACCACACCCTCTCTAAAAGTTTCTCCTACTTTAGCATTCAGGTCCCCTACCACAATTACTCTCTCACTTGGTTCAAAGGCTCCTATACATTCACTTAACATCTCCCAAAATCTCTCTCTCTCCTCTGCATTCCTCTCTTCTCCAGGTGCATACACGCTTATTATGACCCACTTCTCGCATCCAACCTTTACTTTAATCCACATAATTCTTGAATTTACACATTCATATTCTCGTTTCTCCTTCCATAACTGATCATTCAACATTACTGCTACCCCTTCCTTTGCTCTAACTCTCTCAGATACTCCAGATTTAATCCCATTTATTTCCCCCACCGAAACTCCCCTACCCCCTTCAGCTTTGTTTCGCTTAGGGCCAGGACATCCAACTTCTTTTCATTCATAACATCAGCAATCATCTGTTTCTTGTCATCCGCACTACATCCACGCACATTTAAGCATCCCAGTTTTATAAAGTTTTTCTTCTTCTCTTTTTTAGTAAATGTCAGGAGAAGGGGTTACTAGCCCATTGCTCCCGGCATTTTAGTCGCCTCATACGACACGCATGGCTTACGGAGGAAAGATTCTTTTCCACTTCCCCATGGACAATAGAAGAAATAAAGAGGAACAAGAGCTATTTAGAAAAAGGAGAAAAACCTAGATGTATGTACAGTGGACCCCCGGTTAATGATATTTTTTCACTCCAGAAGTATGTTCAGGTGCCAGTACTGACCGAATTTGTTCCCATAAGGAATATTGTGAAGTAGATTAGTCCATTTCAGACCCCCAAACATACACATACAAACGCACTTACATAAATACACTTACATAATTGGTCGCATTCGGAGGTGATCGTTATGCGGGGGTCCACTGTATATATATATATGCATGTGCGTGTCTGTGAAGTGTGACCAAAGTGTAAGTAGGAGTAGCAAGATATCCCTGTTATCTAGCGTGTTTATGAGACAGAAAAAATTAACCAGCAATCCTACCACCATGCAAAACAGTTACAGGTTTCTGTTTCACAGTCATCTGGCAGGACAGTAGTACTTCCCTGGGTTTTTCATATTATTTGTATATATACTGTAAATCACCATGGGGACCTACAAAAATTAACGATAACAGCCAACCAAAAAGAAAATTGGTTGGGAAAAACTTGTTCGGTACTTGAACAAATTGGCACTCGAACAACCTTCTGGAACAAATTAAGTTTGAGTACCGAGGTTCCACTGTATTATAGTGTAAACACGTTATCAGGCTTTTATATGCATATGAAAGTGAAAAAAGGCTACGATTTGCTTTACAGCAATTTGCACTTTACAGCGGTAGCCCGTAACCTAACCTGCTGTATAAGCGGGGCTCTCCTGTATACAGTGTAGTTCTTGTAATAGTGATAATGACAATCTTATTAATATGTAATTTCCTGTTGAAAGGAATCCAGATGAACATCACATTTGTGTAGTAACAAAAACTAAATCATCTGAGCTGATGGTACACAGACTCTATACGTACTCAAAATTTTAAACTAAATCGTCTGAGCTGATGGTATACAGACTGAATATATATTCAAAATTTTAAACTCTATTTTTGGAAATCATTTCAAGGAGAGCAGCAGAGCAATGTGGAGAGAAAGAATTTAAAGACAAAGGATATTAAGACATTGATGATACATTAAAGTATTTTATTAAGGCACTGAA